AGAAACGGTCCTTGCCTTCCAGCCTCGCCGTAAGCCCGACCACAGTGAAGGTCCCACCTCAGGAAGTCCCTGCCATGTCCCGATGCACCGATTTTAAAATCACCCCTTTGAGAAAAGGTTCGCCCTCACGTTCGTGGGCACCTGATATTCATGGGTCCAGACGCTCGCCTGGGCGGTGACCGACGGGACGAGGCCGGAACAAGGCCGACTTCCTGGTCTGCGAGCAACCGACCGCCAGTGCTCAGAATGCGGCCCGACCAGCTCGCAGCTCATCTGATAGCGCATCACCTACACGATCGCTTAGGCACGAAAGGACGAGAGTGGCGTGAGGGGAAGGCCTCCGCCCTGCACCGGCGGCCGCGCGCTGCACCCACCGCACCCACGCGCACGGCGCAGACCAGCCCCGCGTGGGCTCTTGGTGGGGGGCGGGGGCGGGGCGGCCGGTCTCTCCAACAATTCCCAGGCGACAGACTGCACTTTCAGGAAAGTGTATTTGCTGGGTATTAAGAACTTAACAGTCCTTGACACGTGACAGCATTTGGTGCTGTCACCCAAACTGATCAGGCCGGTGCCGCACAGGCCTCGGTGAGGAGCAGCGCAGGGCCCACCCCACGCCAAACACACCGGCCCCGGAGAGAGGCCCCGGGGCACGTGAGCACAGCCCCCCCTCCCCCCCGCTGTCCGCGCGGCACACCTGGGGCTTCCCTGCGCTGCCTTCCTCACCAGCGGGCGGCGGCTGCTGCAACAGGAGAGGCCGCATTGTGCAGCCCCTGCCGGGGAGACTGCGCTTCTCGCTCCGCGTCCCCACGTTTATTTTCTCTTCCAAGAAAGAAAAAGTTCACATCTGACCTTGCAGTGCCATATGTATTCCTGCTAATTTAAGGGGCTGAGCAGCAAGAGTTGGATAATAACCTCTACTGAGAGTCCGTGTTTTATTCTCTGGCGACGGAGAACCTGTAACATGTAACCGTCCAAAGGACAAGGAAAGGGGCCAGAGGCAGAGTGCAGACAGGGGCAGACGGAGGGACGACGCGCAGAGGCACCAGGCTGCCCCCCGGCCCTCACGGCGGGCGCCGCGCCCCCTTCGGCAGCGAGAGCGCTGCCCACCTCCTGGCACGACCGCGTGTGCGGCGGCGGGCGAGCGACGTCTGGAGCACCGGGCGCCCCTCCGTGTCGCGCCCTCCGGGCGACGCTCTGCAGTGCACCCCCAGGGGCGGGCGGCGCATGAGGCTGCCTGGCAGAGGCGCCGCGCGGGGAGAGTGAAATCTGAAACAGGGACGGAGGGCAGGGCCAGCGGCCGGAGCCGCTTCTGTCCCTGTGTGATGATCAAGTGCAGCGACGGATGTTAATTGCAGCTTCTTTATTTTCTCCCACTTATGACGTAATACAGCACAAATCAAGAAACCTACCCCCCCCCCCCCCCGCCCACACGAGTGGACCACTCTCCGTGCCTGACACGCGGACGGGACGGTCTCCCCCGTCCACCAGTGCTCTGTGCAGGCGGCCGGGTCGCGGAAGCCGCGCTCACCCGCCCGTCAGGGCAGGGACCCACGGGCAAGGCGCCGCCCAGAAACCGACAGCCTGGCCCAGAACTACTTCCTCCTTAAAAACCGTCCGTCAGCACGGGACGGGCCCGCGGTCGGCAGGACGGGACCCGAATCCTGGCCGTCTTCGGGTCGTGGGGCAGGCGCTTTAGCGTGGCAAACGAGTTTCCACCGCTCAAAAACAGAGATGACCGTGCAGGGGGTGGGGGGTGGCGGGGCTGATGACACACGTGGACAGCAGGAAGGGTGACCATCTGAAGGGCCTCTAACACCCTGCCGCCACAGCCGAGATCCCCTTCCTGCAGGAAGGGCTGCGCAGGCGAATCTCGCTGCCTCACAACAACCCGCTCGCTTTTGGTGTGTTCCTGATTATTTCTTCCACATTTAAAAATGGCCTTCAGGTATTTGCTGAGGGCAGCCTGGGCTTATCCCTCACGTGTCCGCTCCTCCCGTGCGTCCTCCGCCTGTTTTTTACTGCAAAGCAGCTCTCACCTCTGACTCAGGGGATAACAGAGGTCACCCCCGAGGAGACAACGGGGCCTCAGGGCAGACCTGGGCCGCGGACACTGACAGTGCGTTCCGGGCGAGCGGCGCGGCCCTGCGGCTCGGGACTTCCCCACGCGCCACGCTTCCCTGCTGCCTCCTCTGCAGAGTAGTGCCTTTTCACCCAGGAAAATGGGTTACAAAACGCAAAGGCCGTGCTTTCTAACCCGGAGCGCGGTGAACGCCCCGCTTTCCCCCGGGGAATCCGTCCCGTGACCTGTGAGCCGCCTGGCCACCCGGTCCCTGGCTCTGGAATGCTCCCGCCGGCCCGCGGCTGATCACACACAGCCAGGCAAGCTGCAGCTGGCTCCTTCGCTCTTGTGGAAAGCAAAGAACACTCCTTTCTTTTCATATTTTGCAATCTTTAAGTCAGCAAGCCACTGACCATTTCTAAAACATGCGACATATGTTTGAGGTGTTACAGAAGACGCAAAAGACGACGAACGGGACCACTTCCTGCTTTCTGTATCACAAAATGGAGCTATTATGGTGTATTGGAAATCATATATTCTGGAATGCTGGGTAACCAGCCACCCTTGCCAAAATCAGATATGAAAAGAAAACAAAAGCTGGCAACGATTCTAGCTCTCATGTTTCTCTTTCAGAATTATATTTAATAAGGTTAATCTTTGAAGAATGCATTAATTCTCTTACCTGATTTAAAATAGAACTTGGACACAACTCAGAGCTACAAACCTGACAAATTCATGTAAGACAAACTTATGTAACTATCTCTAATTGCTTTATAAAATCACCAACTTAATTTTTTAGAAATGTATTTTTAGGTAATGATGTCCCTATATCTCCTCTAGTTAAAAAAAAAAAAAAAATCACTACATTATATTTTTAGCCCAGCCGCTTCTAACAGGAAGTGAAAGCCGAGTGCCGCCTGGGGTACGAAGGCAGCCTGCGGAACAGTGTCCGTTTTAAACAAAAACCAGCGTTAGCCAGGACAGCGTACCTTGTTCTTCCATGGGGCCAGCAAATTGATAGTTAGGTTTTTTTTAAGTTACAAAAATAGGATGGAGTAATTATATCTACCAAACTCACAAGAGCCTGTCCAATGGAGAGCAACACTGTAATTTTTCTTCAAACACAGTAAATAGGAAGAAAAAGCCCCTAATTCTGTAACATAAGGAAAAACTCCAAACCCTTGGGCGCCCCTCACAGGCCCAGGCTGACGCTGGTCTCAGTGTGACCCCGAGGCAGGGGACAGGCGCAACCTCTATTTTTAAGAAGTATTATTTATATAACTTGTGCTTCAAAAATGCATGTCCTACACTTTCAATTTCTACATCTAAAGATTAAAAATGGAAGGAGAGTCTGAAATAAAATATCACAGAATTCTCTTTGGACAGAAGGGGTCCCCAGACCCCTACTACTACTGAAATAAAAATAGTCCAAAGTCTGTTACATTTTCCTCCTGAAAATATGAAGTAACTATTCTCAAAACACTAAAATGTAGAGTTCAACTGGGATTTTATGGAACAGTTTACAATAAAAGTGTTTCTACCCACAGACTCAAATAAATTTCAACTCTACCGACAAGAAATTTGGGGTGGGGGGACCCCTATATTCCAAAAGACGGAGAACATGTCCTTGAAGGTAGGTAAAACCTTTAGGTGTGACATTCGGGGTGAACGAACCAGCATCCCGGCCGGCGAAGTGCCTTTTTGAAAACGGCTGGGCGGACCAGCCCACTAGTGCGCACGCTGCGCAGTGGGGACGCGCCCCGGGAGACCGAGAGGAGGACGGCCGAGGTCGCCTCCGGCGAGGAGCGGCCGCGGGTGGCCAGTGCCGCCCGGGCGACCTGCCCGTGTCGCAGCGGCAGCAAAGCGCCTCTGCACGTTTGGCGGCCGCGGCCGCTGGTTGTCCTCCTCTGGTCGCAGCCCATTCAGGCGACCAGGTGCTGACACTTGCGAGTTACTGACCTGTGGCCAAGGCGGCGGCCCCCTGGGAGCAGGTAAAGTTAACCTCTCAAGTCTGGGCCGCGGATTTCCATCCGGAGCTGATCCGCGGGAGCAACCGCTTCCGAGGCGCCGCTCCCCGCGGCAGGGCAGCGGCGAGGAGCGCGCCCGGGAGGCCGAGTCACCGGACGAGCGCACGCGACCGTCGGTCACCACGGTCCCTCCCGTCCCTGCGGCCACGGCGCGAAGGGAACCCTGTGCTTTAGGGTATTTAGGGGGGGGCACCTCCAAGTAACACGCTGTGGTTTTAAACACATAACTAATCAAGTTCCAAAAAAGTGCCAAGTCACTTTAGAAAATTAACCGAAACCAAAGGCTCGTCGGCGGCCAGTCCTTGAGGCGCTCGGAATCCCGGGCAGGGACCAGACCGGGCAGCGGACGGCCGGGCGGCGCGCACGCCCGTCCGGTTCCTTAACCGCGGATCCCCCGCCGCCGCGGCGAACATTTCCTCCCACAGAGGACGTGCGGCCGCCTCCGGAGCGCCCGGCAAGACCCGCAGGTGCAGGCGCCGGCGCTCGGAGAGCGGTCCCCAGGTCGCCGGCGAGGCTGCGGGGTCGGTCGCCGACGCCAGGACACGGCAGGGCCGGCTCAGGCGGCTCCGCGCCCAACGCCAGCTGCGCGCAGGAGTCTCCGGGGTCCGCGTGCTGCGGACCCGTCCCCAGGACACCCGCGCCCCGCGCCCCGAGCGAAGCCAGCCCCGCGCCGCCTTGACAGGCGTCCCCAAGCCGCCCCCGAGGCCCGGGCCGTACCTGCCCGGGGCCTCGCGCCCGCCCTGCGCCCCGAGGGCGGCGCCCCGGGGGGGGACCCCGCGGCGGCCCCCGCGGCTCCGCGCACGCCTGTCACTCGGCTGCGAACAATCGCGACCCCGGGTCCCTGCGGGCGCGCAGCCCGCGGCCGGACCGCCCCGCTCACCGCGCCCGCGTCCCCCGTCCCGCCCGCTGCTCACCCGGCGGCTGCAGGAGGCGGCTCCGCGGGCTCGGTCCCCGCGCGACTCGGGTCGTCGCGGTCCCCCGGCTCGGCGGCGTGGGCGCCGGAGCGGCTCGCGGCTCCGGGGGGCGGCGGCTCCGGCACGGGCTGCGCGGCGCTGCCGCCCGCGGGCTCGGGCGACGGAGACGGGGACCGGGACGGGGACGGCGGCGCGGGCGGCGGGTCCAGCTCCACGCTCCGCACTTTGCGCAGCTGCCGCCGCCGCCAGTCCGCCCGCTCGCGGCCCCCGCCCGCCTGCAGGGACCCTCCGCCCGCCTCCGCGCCCGCGAGTCCCGACGACGACGCGCGACTCCCCGCCGCCGCCGCCATTTTCTGTCGCGGCCGCGTCCGCCGGGCGGAGGGCGGGGCGGGGGGCGGGACGCGCGGGGGGCGGGGCGCGTAGGCCGCTGCGCAAGTGCGGGAGCGCGGCCGCCGGCCCGGGCGCGCGCGCGCTGCGGCGGACGCCGGGGTCGCGGGGACGGGGGTCCGGGACGCCGGGGGCGGGAAGACGGGGCGCCCGGGGCACGGGGACGCCGGGGTCTGGGGGAGGGGCCGCAGGTACAGGGGGCGCGCGGGCGACTGGGCCACCGGGGCACGGGCCGCAGGTGGAGGTCCGCCGCGCGCGCCGCCGCCAGGTAGTCCCGCCGCCCCGGCGACAGGACGGGCCGCTGCTGCCGCGCTCCCCAGCGGGACTGCCGCTCGGATTCCAGTGCTTGCGGCGTGGACGGGACGCTGGCGACAGTGTTCACAGTTGTCATCTGCCCTGGGCGTTGGGGAACCGGCGTGGACCAGCCCCGCACCCGCCCCGCCGGAAGCGACCCAACGTCCTGCAGAGGCGCTGCCGCGGACCAAAGAAATAGTGTTTTTTCCCCAAAACTTTCTTAAGTGCTGCGCTCTTCCCCGCCTCGTGCTGCACTTAAGCCGCACAGTGTCCCCAACTGCTGTTCCCAACCCGCAGTCACGGACCTGGGACCCCGCCCCCGACTGGAGAGACACCTGCGCCGCGTGCGCACGGCCCCGGGGGCGCCGGGCGCGGGACCACGACGGGCCAGCAGGTGCCCGGGCCCCACGGCCAGGTCTGGGCCTCACCCCCCAGCCGACGCCCGGACCCGCACGTCCCTGCGCCCCGCCCCCACCGCGCGGGCGGGCCCGCCCGTCACCGGGGCGGGGCCACGAGGTGCTTCGCAGTGAAAGCGGACGTTACTGTGTGGTTCTCGGTTTTCCAACTTCTCTGGGCGCGTGGAGCCGCCAGCGGAGCGGCGACTCCGGAAACAGGGAGGCGTGGAGGCGGGGTCCCTGCGGCGCAGGGATGGCCGCGCTGCCTATGCCCCCGCATTCAGACGAGAGTCCTAGCTGCCCGCAGAGCCACCCCCGCCTCCCTGGAACCGGTCAAACGACAGCGCCTCCCCGGGGCCAGTGTTACCCGGGGAGGACCGGGCGCCGAGGGGCGTCCAGGACTCTCCCGATTTCGTGCCGGCTTCCTGTTTTGAGGATCCTGTAACATCTGCCAGGGAATACTTTCAGGGAGTTACATCCAAAGGGGCAGGTTTTGAAAGTGTAGGTGAATCTGTTAACATTTCCAGCGCACATGTAGGCTGTAAGCACGCGCTTGTCTGACGGTCGCCAGCGGGTCGTGCGGACCGAAGACGAAGACGGGCGCTGTCCCGGGCCTTCCCTGACGGCCGCGCCCGGCAGCCCCCGGGCTGAAAGTGAGACTTCCCTCCTCCCTGGTTAGGTGGAAAGCCCCGTGCACTCGCGCACTCGCGCCCACACTCAGGCGCCCGGAACGGAGAAAGGGAGCGGGTGCCTCCAGCCTCTCAACATTCTGAAGCCGGGCCAGGGCCGCAAAGCAGAAGGGATTCCCCCCCCCCCCCCCCCGCGCCCCCCAAGACATTTCCTTCCGCTTCTTTCTTTGCCCCCAGCGACGAAAATGGGACCAACGGCCAGGAGTTCCCAAGGCCGAGCCTGGTTCTGTGACCTCTCCGCCCACCAGCTCCGTGTGGACAAACCTCAGGGCTGGGCTGCCGCCTAGTTTTGAGTGCTTTGAGTCATCTTTTCCTTAATCTTCCGGGTAAATATTTGGGTTGTCATTATGCACCCATATACACTGACACACTGATTTTTTTTAAAAGGGAGGAACATAACCAAAGGATACGCTTGGCTGGAGGGTGTCCTTCCTTTGCCGCGTGTTAGCACCTTAGCGGGCTGCGCCCGCGATTTGCTGCTGCCAGTTTGTCCTTAGCAGGTGAGAGTCCAGCTCTGCACTGGGAGCCGCTGGCTCCTGCTTCCTGTGCCTTCAGAAGGGCATGTGTCCAACGACCTTGGCTTGATTTCCTCAGTGACAGGAAGGGAGCTGGTGTCCCTTCCCAGGCTGCTTGTCCACTGAGAACTCCAGGTGTTTCTTCCACGCCCTTCGCTTCCAGCCTCTCTGATATGCGCGTTGCGCTGATCGATCCGCGCGGACACTGGTCGGGAGCCATCGCGCCAAGGGCTTTGCTCATCCCATTTCTACCCGCTGCTCCTGGGAGCTGCGCGGCCCAGTTCCCACGCAGCTCGCCCGGAGGGCCCAGCCGGACCGGGGTGCGCTTCCTCGTTGTGCACAATGCCGCCCACACTGGCATCGACGGGTGAGTGGGCACCCGCGGACACTGTAGCCGGCGTGTCTTCAGATACGTGTTACACACCCACCAAGCACACGCAAGGAGTTTGCTTCTTCTGGGAGGGGGGGTGGTGTTGTTTGTTGTTTTCCTTCCGCACAAAATTGAATAAAGCACACACCCCCCCCACACACACACATGTATTGGTACCCGTGAGTGTTTATCGAGGTCCATCTGCGCGCGGGCGTCCGTGCCTCTGCGCGGTGGGGCCGGGTGGCAGGGAAACCCCAAGAGTGAGCCGCAGTCCTCGAAAGCGGGCGCTCGCGCAGGCGTACGCGTGCGGGGCCGCTGGGGCTGGAGCCTGGTCCCCACGCGCCTCCCAGGCCCCACCTCCCCAGGTGCCCGGACGTTCATTCCCCAGAGCTGGGAAGTCTTGTCGTTTGTTGGGTAACTGGCCCTGACCGGGGCGCTGTCGGTGACCTCACAGCAGAAAGTTTCTTAAGCAGCTTCCGCTTAGCTGCCCTCCCCACCCCCCACCCCCGGGACAGACGCCCGCCACTCCCGGGGCGGCTCGGCCGGCGGGGGCGGTCGACGCTCAGGGCCCCCGCACACCCATCCTCCCGCCAGGCGGCTACGGGCCCCAGGAGGCGGCGACACACTGGTTCCCAAACCTGGTTATAGCTATTATACTGTCCCAAGGGAATTCAATTAAGTTCTAGTAAAATAATTATTACATTAGGGAAATATTAGTATGTGGTGCAAAAAGAAAGCGGTTCCAATGAGAACTGAGTTACACGCGGTGAAAGAATGAACACAAGGCCCTGCAAAAGGTTTCTGTCGAGTTAGCTGTGGAGTGGTGATTGCAGAAAGTTGAGGAAAAAAGCATTAAAATGTGTAAGAACTTTACTTTGCAAGGATCTTACCACTTTTCACTTTAAAAATAAAACTAGATGTGGAAATTGCAGGCGACAAGATTTGTGAGACAGATTCTGGGTCTCTGCATAGCGACCTCACACTCCGAAGACCAGGCCCCGTGGCCAGATTCTGGGTAAAACCCCCGAACTCCAGAACAAAGCCTCGTTCTTTATGTTGTAAGCGGGCGGAAAACATGTCAGGCAGACAGCATGGGGAAAAAGTGCATTTAGGGAGTGAGAACATGAAGGACAGGGTTCGTTCTTTTATTGTTATTCATTAGTTGTTGTATTGTTTTCCCTGTGAACAACTGTACCCCTATGTTTGCCTACCCCTGTATATATAAGTGTATACATTATTCCCTTTTATTAACTCGCCAGCTGAACATTTTGCACGTTTCTGCATGTACTTAAAATCGGAAAGTAAATTTCATAATACATCACAAAAAACAGTTGAATTGGGGTTCACATTTAAGATGAAGCTGCGACAGGAACTGTGGGTGTATCGGACACTGGCTCGACCCGCTCGCCGGCGCTGCTCCGCACGCGCCTCTGCGTTCTCTGGGCGGGCCGTGCGCGGTGTGTGAGGAGAGATTCTTTTTCTGTTTGACTTTTGTGGCTTAATCATGGCTATCATTTTTGCAAAAAGTATGAAAAACTTCCTACATTTTTCCAAGGTCCTCTAATTGACTTTCTTTGAACTGGAGTCCTCGTTGGTCCCCTCCCCCTGCCCCCCACGATCCGGTGGCCCGAGGCGGCCACCCGAAGCTCAGTGCCACATTCAGAGCCCCAGTCTCTGCGCAGGCAGCGTTTGCAACATCTGCCCCTTCACTTTGCAACTGATGTGCGTTGTTTGAGGGTCGCAGATGCTAATGGGGTCTACAGAGCGAGAGCCGCTGCTGCACTGCTGTCTCCTAAACTACAATGCAGGGCCCACGTGTAATTTATTTTCCTAGTAGCCACGTTAAAAAAAAAAAACAACCAGAAAGAAAGAGGTGGTTCATTTCAATAATAGATTTTGTTTTCCATACCATATCCAAAATATGACTATTTCCATGTGTAAGCAATTGATAAGATATTCCTAATGATATTTTTTACCATTTATTTTGCACTAGACCTTTGACATCTGGGGTGTGTGTTACGCCTCAGACACCTCGAGGAGCGTTTTGGACTAGCCACACGTCAAGTGCTCCGAAGACTCACATGGCTGGTGGCTGCTGCCTGAGTCGGCTCGGCCCCCAAGACCACAGCCACCGCCCCGCGGTTCATGAGTTTAATGAACATGCCTGGTTAGGCCCGATTAGTGCCTAACGACTATGCTCCGGGAATAAAGCGCCGTAGCAGATACCTATGAGTAAACTGCAGCTGAGGGAGTGAGTCTGAACTTGGAGTAGCTAATCCTTGCAGGAAGTTTAGGTCCTGTTGCCTGCGTTCTCATTCTCAACTGTGGGTCTGGCTCTGCCTCCTCGGCCCAAACTCTCCTCGTTACAGGGAGCACAGGCCCCACGTCCCTTCTTTCTTTCGTTTGGCAAATACTACCTGTGCTAACCGCTCTGGGCAGGGCCCGCGGGAGGCCCCGGGACCCCACGGAGGCCGGGGTGGCTCGCCGCCCAGCACCGCCCCCAGCGTCCCAGCATTGGCTGCGCGGCTGTCCCCGTGCCGGCCCCGTCCCTAGGCCCGGCCCCGCCGTGGGCGCCGGCTCCCGGGTCAGGCCTGTTACCTTCTCCCGAAAGCACCTCCGTAACCTGCCCCCTGCCCCGGACCCCTGCCCAGGGCCAGGCCTGTTCCTAACGCCCCTGCAGGGCCAGGGTGACGGCTGACG